GAGCCCAGGAGTTTGAGGTTGCTGTGAGCTAGGATGACGCCATGGCACTCACTCTAGCCAGGGCAACAGAGTGAGACTCTGTCTCAAAAAAAAAAAAGCTCAGTGAGGAAGTCTTGTCAAAAGCTGAGGTAGGCCAAAATTGTGGTCTCTTGTGCTAGACAGCCGACTTGTGAATGCAAAGAAAAAATTCTTGAAGGGAATTAAAAGTGCTATTTCGGTAAACAAACAAATGTTGAAAAAGTAAAGAGCCTTACTGCTAATAGGGAGAAAGTTTCAGTGGTCTGGATCAAACTAGCCACAACATTCCCTTAAACCAAAGCCTAATCCACAGCAAGGCTCTAACTCTCTTCACTTCTATGAAGGCTGAGAGAGGTGAGTGAGGAAGCTTCAGAAGAAAAGCTGGAAGCAGCAGAGGCTGGTATATGAGCTTTAAGGAGAGAAACCATCTTCATAACATACAAGTGCAGGGGAAGCAGCAAGTGCTGATGTAGAAGCTGCAGAAAGTTACCTGTAAGATCAAGCTAAGATCATTCAGGAAGGTGGATACACTAAACAACAGACTCTCAATGTAAACAAAACAGCCTTCTTTTGGAAGATGCCACCTAGGGCTCATGACTACGGAGAAGTCAATGCCTGGCTGGAAAACTTCAAAGGACAGGCTGACTCTCTGTTGGGGGCTAATGCAGCTAGTGACTTCAGGTTGAAGCCAATGCTCATTTACCATTCTGAAAATCTTAGGGCCCTTAAGAATTACACCAAATCTACTCTGCCTGCGCTCTATGCGTGGAACAACAAAGCCTGGATAACAGCACATCTGGTTATGGCATGGTTTACTAAATGTTTTAAGCCCACTGGTCAGACCTACTGCTCAGAAAAAAAGATTCGTTTCAAAACATACTGCTCATTGACAATACACCTAGTCACTCAAGAGATCTAATGGAGGTGAACAAGGAGATGAATTTTGTTTTTACGCCTGTAACACAACATCCATTCTGTAGTCCGTGGATCAAGGTATAATAACTTTCAAGTCTTACTCCTGAAGAAACACAGTGGAGGAAGTAATTGCAGCTGTAGTGGCAATAGCAAGAGAACTAGAATTCAAAGTGGAGCCTGAAGATGTGACTGAATTACTGCAATCTCATGATAAAACTTGAATGGATGAGGAGCTGCTTCTTACAGATGAACAAAGAAAGTGGTTTCTTGAGATGGAATATATTCCTGTTAAAGACACTGTGAACACTGATGAAATAACAACAAAGAATTTAGGACAGTACATAAACTTGGTTGATAAAGCAGTGGCAGGGTTTGAGAAGACTGACTCCAATTTTGAAAGAATTTCTTTCAACTAGGCAAAATGCCATCACACAGCATGGTGTGCTACAGAGAAATTTTTCATGAAAGGAAGAGTCAATCAATGTGGCAAACTTCATTGTTGTCTTATTTTAAGAAATTGCCACAGCTACCCCAATATTCAGTAACCACCAGCCTGATCATTCAGCAGCCATCAACACTGAGGCAATACCCTCCACCAGCAAAAACATGATGACTGGTTGAAGGCTCAGATGATCGTTAGCATTTTTTGGCAAAAAAGAGCTTTTTAATTAAGGACTTCAGACATAATGCTAATGCACACTGAATAGACTACACTATAGTGTAAATATAACTTTTATATGCACTGGGAAACCAAAAAATTCATGTGATTCACTTTGTGGCAATATCCGCTTTATCACAGTGGTCTGGGACCAAACCCATGTTATCGTTTAGGTGTGCCTGTATTTATCCTAGAAAAATACACGTACGCCAAAAAGGCCTATTTAAGGAAATTCTCTGAAGCTTGCTGCAAGCAAAAAATTAAAATCAACTTAAATATCTATCAATGTGGGAATGCTTAAATATAATATGGTACATCTATCCTAAAGAATACCATGTGGCAGTTTAAAAGAGATAAACATAAATGCATTAAAATGGCAATACTTTCAAGACATATTGTTAAAGTACAAACAGCAAGTTGTAGAATAATGTGTCTGGTACAATCCTAGTATTGTAAAGAGCAAGCCAATGTTAGCGTAT